ACACAACTATGCCGAGAAAACTGGAGCCAACGAACAGGCGGCGTCCAGCTTACTGGTGGAACGAGGAAATTAGCACCCTCCGTGCTACTTGTCTTCTAGCCAGAAGGCGTGCTCAGAGAGCAAGAACAGAAGCAGACAGAGCTGCACTGAAACGAAAGATAAAGCTGAGCAAATCAAATAGTTTCAAGGAGCTGTGCCGCGACGCCGATGCCAATCCCTGGGGCAACGCATACCGAGTCGCGATGGCGAAGATCAGAGGTCCAACGATGCCGATTGAAATGTGTCCCAACAAGCTGAAAGTCATTGTGGAGGGACTTTTCCCACAGCATGATCCAACGAACTGCCCACCTACACCATATGGTGAGGTAGATGAAGACAACGTTGAACAAGTCTCCAACGAGGAACTCATAGCAGCAGCGAAAGGGTTGAAGGCGAATAAAGCTCCCGACCCGGAAGGAATTCCCAACGTGGAGTTAAAGGCGGCGATCCAGACGTTCCCGGACATGTTCAGGATGGTGCTGCAGAAATGTCTGGACGAGGGTCAGTTCCCTTATAGGTGGAAGGTACAAAAGCTTGTGCTGTTGCCGAAGCCCGGAAAACCGACCGGGGATCCTGCATCGTATAGGCCAATATGCTTGCTGGATACTGTCGGAAAGCTCTTGGAGAGGATCATCCTGTAAAGGCTAACGAAATGCACGGAGAGTGAACACGGATTGTTGGAGAGGCAGTTCGGATTCCGGAAAGGGAGATCGACGGTGGATACAATTCGGATAGTGATTGACAGAGCCGAGAAAGCATTCAAACAGAAGCGGAGAGGAAATCGATCATGCGCCGTGATTACGATTGATGTGAAGAATGCATTCAATTGCTGGGAGGCCATCGTCAAGGCGCTTCATAGAATGAGGGTTCCAGACTACCTCTGCAGGATTCTAAGTAGTTACTTCCAGAACCGGGTCCTGGTCTACGCGACAGACACGGGGCAGAAATCGCTTAGAATCACGGCGGGGGTTCCCCAAGGCTCCATTCTAGGTCCCACGCTGTGGAACGGAATGTATAATGGCGTGCTGACGCTCAAGCTGCCCAAAGGAGTTGAGATCATTGGGTTTGCGGACGATGTCGTCTTGACGGTAACCGGTGAGACGCTGGAAGAAGTGGAAATGCTGGCGGCCGAGGCGATAGATACGATTGGTAACTGGATGCAAGGAGCGAAGCTGCAGATAGCCCACCACAAAACAGAAGTGATGTTGGTCAGTAACTGCAAAGCAATGCAGCGGGCAGAAATTACCGTTGGAGAGCACACCATTGTTTCGAAGCGCGTGCTGAAGTATCTGGGAGTGATGGTCGACGACTGGCTAAACTTTAACAGCCACATCGAATATGCGTGCGAGAAGGCGGCGAAGGCCATCAACGCAATAGCCAGAATCATGCCGAACAATTCTGGTCCAAGCAGCAGCAAGAGGCGTCTTCTGGCTAGTGTGTCCTCATCGATACTAAGGTACGGAGGGCCAACCTGGATTGAAGCGCTGAAAACGAAGCAGAACCAAAGGAAATTCAGCAGTACGTTCCGGCTCATGGTCATGCGAGTCGTGAGTGCGTACAGAACCATTTCGATGTAGGCTGTATGCGTTATCACCAGTATGATCCCAATCAGCATCAGCTTGGAGGAGGACTACGAGTGCTATATGACGAGAGAAACCAGAGGAGTACGAAAAATGGTGAGAACGGAATCGATGGCTAAGTGGCAGTAGGAGTGGGATGCAGCAGAGAACGGTAGATGGACACACAGGCCAATACCGATTCTTTCGACGTGGGTGAACAGGAAGCATGGAGAAGTCAACTTCCACTTGACGCAGTTCCTGTCTGGTCATGGCTGCTTCAGGAAGTACCTGCATCGGTTCGGACACACAACGTCACCCTTCTGTCCGGAGTGTGGGAATGTGGAAGAATCACCAGAGCACGTGGTCTTCGAATGTCCTAGATTTGATGATGTGCGAGAGGATATGCTCGCCCTTAGCACGGAGAATGTCGTCGAAGAAATGTGTCGAGAGGAGGGCACCTTTAATGCCGTCAGCAGAGCAGTAACGCTGATCATGTCAGCGCTGCAGCGAAAATGGCGAGAGGACCAGCTAGAAAGTAGTAATGTGCACAAGTGCGAACTGAAAGCCGAAGCCGGGAGAACTCTCCGTCGGAGTAAGCTGAATCCGCCGCCGGGGATAAGCGAGTAGAGCGTGACGCTGGGAGCTAAATGGCTCACAAATTGGAGAGACGATCAGCGAACTGGAAGCGCCAATTAGCTGAGGTAAAGTGAGGTGCGTAATGCACGGCCCCCTCCGAAGTAATACGACAAGTGGTTCCGGGGGAAAAGGGCAAGGCGTCTAAGGAGGTTTTAGTGCGGTAAGAATCCCACACACCGTGTCACCGTGACTGTGCGCCCAGTCGTCAAACGGTGGCACGATGGCCTTTTTGAAAGTTTCCTACTTGCCCAAAAAAAAAAAAAAAAAAAAAAAACACACACACACACACCCACACCGACACACAGACACACACACACACACACACACACACACACACACACACACACACACACACACACACACACACACACACACACACACACACACACACACACACACACACACACACACACACACACACACACACACACACACACACACACACACACACACACACACACATACACACACACACACACACACACACACACACACACACACACTCACACACACACACACACACACACACACACACACACAAACACCGAGACACACACACACACACACACACACACACACAAACACCGAGACACACACACACACACACACACACACACACACACACACACACACACACACACACACACACATAGCAAAGTGAGGGGGTACGACGCGAACTCTGGCGCGGTAACCATAGCACAGAGATAGAGGAAATGCTTCGTCAACCCGCAGGAGTGCCAACCGGCACATTAGGATCGACGCCAGTAAGATCCTAATTCCGGCATACTGGACGCGGCATGGAATTATGGACACGACACGGCACAATGAATTGGATACCACGCTACAGGGCTGACAGTCGTGCTATTCTGCTCCCTAAGTAAAGAAGGATGACACCTTGAAATGGCGAGTGGGCTAATAGTGCGGCTGCCCCAGTCCCGGTAAAACCTTGGCAGGCCTCCGGAAACGTTCAAAACTCGTCACCATTTGGTGGTTGGTGAGTAGTAGGCTCAGATGTAACATTCCTGACTTACGCCGATCTGGCTCTGAACACGGCCCCCATTAAGGACCGTGTCAACCCTAGCATGGCCTCCCTGCTTGCATAGATAACCATGGGATCACGATAGGCGACCACATACAACGAGTGGAGATAGCGGCCCGGAGGGGGGACCAACAGAATGGAGAAAAGAATAAAAACTAAGAAAACGAGAAAACCCAAAAAAATATGAAAGACGATGGCAAGACGCCAGACAGTGAAAACGGAGGAGCGAACTACTGTTGAACCTGGAGGCCACAGCGAGTTCCAGCAGCAGCAGTAAGCCCCAAGGTGAGCAGCAATAACACCAAGGAGAGCTGGGTCTTATGCTAAACCAGGTGTTCACACAGAAATCCAGCTGCAGCACACCCCAAGAAGGATTGCAGCTTGCGAAGACCAAATTAATGGAGGTCAGAAGGAGGATCAATGAACTCCATGACTTCGTCAAGGATAAGAGCAACGTCCACAAGGCAATAAAGGAAATGGTGACGGGCATCAAATCCGCCATGATTGCTGCCGAACGTGAACAGGATGCGCTGAGGGTGAGATCCGTGACTTCCGAAAGGGCGCTGATCGAGGCCATGGAGAAAGCAGCAGCTGAAATACAGGAGACGCCAACTAAAAAGCTCATCAATCAATTTAGATTTTTCTGCATAATTTTCAATTTTATTTAATTGACGTTGCCTAATATTGTATATAAGTTGTCAATCATACCAATCATAGGGTTGGAACGATTGTTGTCCTTAACTTGAAAGTCACAGTTGTTGTGAACTAAGTGCTTATCAATCTATTTTTTTTTTTTATGTTTTTAAATGTTTCCAATGTTAGAATTTAACGATTTGCATTTTGTATAAAAAATGCCTACATTTAGGCGCGTTTATAATTTTCACCCAATATCTATATTTTGCAATTTGAGAAACGTCCAAAAACAAAACCCTCAATGAAATAACTAATCATACATAACGATAGCATTATCATAGCCTATGATTGTATAATCATGAGTTTGTATATTTTCTCTCATGTTAGAACTAATTTCCATATTTACGTTTTGTGCGATAAATTTGCTCCCGAATAGCGGTATTTAGTTTAGAGTTGCGTTTATTCTCTGCTTCACAAAAACAATACAATTCATAATGAGAGAGAGAAGGATTAGTATTTTCCATTTAATTCCACTACTTTATTTGCTTATCCTTGACAGATACGCGTATTTCGTCTACAATGTGCAGACTTCTTCAGTGTCTTGTACTAATACTCAATTCAGTAAAAATTGAAAAGGGATTGGAAACATCCATGACTCATGCTTACATTTAGCTTCAAAATTGTCAAAACGTCAATGTTTCAAAATCAATCTTCTAAAGAAAAATCCTTTCGATGTTCAGCAAATAAAAAGATTTTTTACCTTAACTCAAAAATTGCTGACCTGAGCATCTGAGCATCTGATTGCTCAGATATATTGGCAGATCGAAACTTTATGGTTGAATGTAAAATCAAATAATTTGCATCAGCAGAAAAAAAAATATGATAAATTAAAAAAAGCACATCAAATATTTGCTCATCCTCCAAGTAAATTGCCCCTTTTGCTCCTCCTCGAATTTGACCCTGCTTCAGACATCGCTGCATTGCTCCGCATCTCATCGCCAGTATCCGCAAATCATAACAGAACATAAATTGATAAGATTTACAACTGCTCCGTCCAGTTCAGTTGGTCTGTCCCTTTTCGATCTGATACTTACTGTTCCGTGTCGAGCGTGTACTTATTCCGCACGGTTGCATAGATTGATATGAGCGCCACCGGAAGAATCCAACCGACGGTGAAAAACCAACGCATTGCTATTGCATCTTTGATGAAAACCTACGACGGGGGAGAGATGCGAAAAGAAAAAGGAAAAAATGTTAGGAATTCGATAGGATATTTCTCCCCGGTTGCCATTATGCCGGGTTCGTTCGTTCACGCAAACATGGGAAAGAGGTAGCTGGCTGTACCTACAGGAAATTGATTGACAATATTTAAACCTCAACATTTACCATTTGACCACATACATATTTGCCATCCTGTGGTTGTGGGTGGTAGGTTGGAGAGATATCGCACATTCTCCGTCTGGAAAGAGGGTGAAGCAGTAAGGCCTCAAAAATGTTGCCTACTTGTTCATAGTTTCTTCATCCGTCACCCACCCACCACCCCACATCCGGGACATGCTAAAGATGCAAAACATTTCGTCCACCACCTACCGGTCGACGACGTCAGCTTCCTTGTCAAACGGCAAACTGATGACGACGCTTCCGACCACAGACCGCCACCGGTCGGTCGATGACTGTCCGCTTTTTTTCCCCCGTTGAGCGAAACTCAATATGAGGAAGTGGCCCTTTTTTTCAATCATCAATATACGAGTGGGTACTGTGCTAACAACAGCAGGAAGGAGAAAGAGAAAGTAGCAACAGTTTCCGCCTGTTAAACTGATCACAGCGCAATGCAATTTTACCAGGGATGATGCACTAGACTGCAGGTGACCATGTACATGCGGACACGGGTTCTCCGTTTGTCAATGCAAACTGAAAGCCAACCTGTCGTCGAGCTACGGGATGAAACCAAATGGCTTGTGTGTGTGAGAGCGAGGCTTATCGTGTCTATTGGAGATGCAGTTGATCATAAAGCTGCATATGTGCGTATTAGACTGGTCTACATTAATATGGGAAAAAATCATGTTTTTCAAGGGCCAACCCCTATATTTGTGCCATTAAATGAAAAAAACTACTCTCTGAAAATTTCAGCTCATTCGGATGTAACACGAGCTGGCGCTTTGATTTAAAATTGATATGGGGATATTGGTTGAAATGCATGGAGAAATCGAGGGGGGCGACTCTATCTACGATGAAGGAAAATTTGTGTTATGCTGTGGTTAGCTGCGCGCACGCTGTGTAGGTAGAAAGAAGATTGATGACGATTATGAAGATTTCCTGCAAAAATATGATGCGTGATGCAAGTAGATGCGAGAAATGAATGAAGATTTTTCGAAGATCGATTCGCTAGTATAAGATTTGTTGAGCATCTAGAAATGAGATTTAGATGTGTCGCCCCCTCGGGAGAAATATCATTCCTTCACTCTTTCGTGCATAGAACTGGTTCAACAAACTCGATTAAGCTCAGAGTTTCAGCACATATAGTTTAAACTAAAAGGAACAAATTTGTTGAATACAGCATCAAGATTCAAGTTAGTATTATGGATATATTATTTGTAACGCTGTGCGGTTTTTGTAAATATTTTATCGATTAAGTTCAACTAAAATTAAAATTAATGTTTTGACGAAGCATTACGTTTTTCGGCAACATATTGGGGGTGCAATTAAAAAAAAAAAACAAAATCAACCGCGTCACGAAAAGTGGTCAGGTTTTGACCACTTATAACTCTGTCAATACCGCATGGATTTTAATTCTAAACAAGACAATCGATTGGGAATTTGTCTACAAATCTGCTAAAATGAACACTTTATCAATTTCCAATAGGTCACTGCAAAAAGCGCTTTCCCTAACACAGATTTCAAAACCGAATTCCATTCGGTCTCGCCGAACAGTGCTTTTTCAATCACCGTGTGTGGTGGTGTCCGGTCGGTTGTCATCATCAGCAGCAGTGTTTTCGGCGCATGGCGTTTAACATTGTTATCGAGTACACAACGAAAGGCTCCCCGCAAGCAGGTAGTTATCAAGGCTGCCGTTAAGAGCCTTCGGTTCATCGAAAGACGAGGAAGAAGCCGCGGATTCAGTTGCTAGTCATCAGCGGCTCACCATCTATGTCAAACGCATCACCCTCCGTGTTGAATGCGCTAATAGCTCAGCATTACTCAACCATCAGGACGAAACGGTTCTTTTCAGGACCGCCATGTATTATTGTTGTTTAAGAGTTAATTTTCATTGAACGTTCGCTTGACTTGCTGCCAGCCATATGCCCCCAAAGCTCTTTGGCAATGAACCCAGCAACGAAACATTTGTGGTAAAATGCGTAACAGTATTGAAGTGGTACAAAAAAAAATCTCGCAATGACTGAATACCACATAACCTTATACATTAACCAGAAACACTTCGAATTAAGGTAAGGTTTTATCCAGTATGCTAGAAAAAGTCAAAAAATCTCGAATGTATATGATTGATCGCGAATATCTAGCGAATGGAAAATGTTAGCAAGAAATTCCTCCAATCAATTTTCGCTTTTTTTTTTGTTATCTATTGAATGAACCAAAAAATTCCGTGCGTTTTATGTACAAAAATGCGTAATTTTGTCATCAGAAAACGAGACGTTTCCATTATAGGAAAAAGTGGTCTCCCTAACACAGTCGCCGAATATTGATACTGAGCACGTAATCCTACGTCAAATCTACGGTCGTGTCTTGGATACAACTTCTTACTTTTTTCATTTAGAATTCATTCAGTAGTGAAATATTTGAGCGTTTCGTGAAGTTCTATGTTGAAGAACGCGTAGTTTATGCTTAGGTGTAAAAAACTTTTGCTATAGTTTTCTATAAAAAGCTCATCTTTGCACATGCTTTCGGATGGCGCTCTGGAACAATGCCATTATATAAGGTCTGGGCCAACAGGCAGCTTGCTGGTGTTAGAAGCAAAAATGTTGTAAACATTGCTGAACAGCTGCGACAGATAGAAATACGTCACTGCCAACAGCTGTTTCGTTTAAAAAGATAACCATTGCAATGAAATACGAACACCACTAAACATTTGCAAATTTCACTAACACCAATAAGCCCTTTGGCCCAGACCTTATATAAACGTCATTGGCCCTGAAATACTTCGCCATTCGTTTAGATTGGCGCAATTTTTAAATAAAGAAATCGATTTAAAAAGGCGACCCTAATTTCAAAAGAAGAATGTCGTTAGAAAATGTCTTCCCTGCGAAAAGTACTCTGACTCGTGCATTTCGCTTTCGAATCGGCTGGTGAACAGAAGTGCGCGAATTAAGTTCTCGTTTAAAATCGTTTGTGCATTTGGCCTTGCCTTAAAAATGTAGCAAAAATATCCATTAAATTTTTTTAGTGGTGCTGGAAAAATATCTTCGATTCGACTGTCGCAAGGCCGGACAAGGGGTTCCGTTTAAGCATCTTTCCCGTCGTCCGTGTGAAACGGATCATCAGACTCGTGCGCCCAAGTGAAGGCCAGCCTATTAAAAGTAGCTTAACGGAGAAGCGTGAAGTTCCTCGGAGCGAAATTTTCCCGACGGTCGCACATTAACCGTTGAAAGGGTTCCCGCTACAAACCCCGTGGACCAATTTGTCCGTGAGCGCGGACCATTTGAGTGCGTAGCCAAGAGTGTCCCACGGTCCGGATTCAACCCAAGGAGAGGGGCGGATTTCATTTCATCCCGGGCGGTCATAGCGGAAGCTTATTACGCGAAGCCGTGCGGTGGTAAGTTGGCCCTCTATTCTCTACGGAGCGGATCTCCCGGGAAGGCACAACTGCGGGCGATGCTCAGCTCTCAACGTAATAAATCGGAAGTCTTCCGTCCAGCCGTCACTCCCTTCGCAACTCTAGTTCGGCCATACTGCGCACGAGTCACCTTCCATCGCTGCTCGCCATACTGCAGCTCTTGTGCGGCGCCATCACACCTCACCGTCATCATCAAGTCGTCGAGTCCCCACCGTCAGCCTTCATGGAGCCGTCGTTCGTTGCATCGAAAAACCTGCGCAGGTATGTTAGAGCATGTTTTTATTCATGGCCATGATTTGCTCATTTCCGTACACTAATCCAGAAGTCCAACCCGAATAAACGAACTCAATAATAGATTTTAATAAAGATTGAATATTAGTTTTAATGCTTTAGAATGTTTTTCCCTGGAATAAAAGACACTCGCTATCTTACGTTCAGTTTTTCCTTCGGTTCTCGCTCAGTTGAGTAAGCATTCCTTCTTTCTCTTTCCGTTTCGTTCATGTTTTGGGTAAGTCAGAGTAATTTTTTCGTTCCGTTAATACTTGCGGTTCTACAGGATGTTACAGTACTCCGGTAACGGTAGAGCCAAAACTTCAAAACTACCAAAGCGGACAAAATCACAAACACTTACAGGCATGTGCACCAACAAAAGTAAACAGGGTTGAATCTCATTTTGACTTATTGTAACGGTTCACGCGTTACGAGGCCAGAATCAGACAACTTTCTCCACTTATGCGCCAAGCAAGCGGTTCTAATCTGCTTGCATGTGGATCAGCAAGTTTTCCCGGCGAGACTCCTCAAGGCGAGTCTTTCTGTTTCTCAAATAATCCCGACAACTCGCTTCGCAATCTACCGTCCCATTCGCAACCTCAAAAGAAACCCACGATGGGAAAGATGTATCGACCGAAAATTAAACAACACGTTGATCAACCTCCGACTTTCTTTCGGTCTGTCGCTTGTGCTATTGAAATCTATTCGATATTACTTGCTTGAACCTCCTGGATTTCATTTTTTTTATTGCTAGTGTTTCTCACCTTCTAGGCCTAATGTTTTTTTCTAGTTTAGCTTGTGCGGTTCCGTTTCTAAACTGCGAACGTTTATTAAAAACTAAATAAAATCTCTGACCTGGTTGATCCTGCGACGGATCGGCGAGTCCTTACTCGGATGTCCTTCTTCGATGGTACTGTTGCATACAGCCAACGGCTGGTCAGTGAGCGAGTCTAGCCACCGACGATGAGTGAGTCGATCGTATTCAGCGGTGTACTAGCTGGGACACTAATGCGAACTGGCAGTGCCACCTACCGGAATCCCGGCCGTGGTGTTGCAATCCTCACTGATTCGTACCGCTGTATCGGCGTTCGATCAAGGCGGTACCAAGTTGAACTATTGGAGAGTGTGTGTCCGTGGAAGCGGCGGCGAATTCG